CCAGGGCTTTGTCCGCAAAAATCTTGACATGCTCTTTAGGGACATGAGGGGTTGGAGCCCGTAGACCTGCAAAACATAAAATATACGCGTTGGCGCGCCGTAGAATTTTAGTAGCTAGTTGATGTGTGCCGTGAGATGAAAAAAAGGTTGAAAATCGCTGCTTTAAGGGTATTGAGCAGTTCGGAACCAGGCGAATTGGTAACATTTGGGTCAATGTCATTGTCACGAGCAGCCCGCGCTGCCCTCTGGTGGCCACGGGAGACGTAGCTCCGTGCTGCGGGGCTCCCACCACACCGAGGTCTTCTTCCCAGGCTTGCGCTTAGACCAGAATCAATGCTGCAGGAGTCATTGTCCCGGCCCTGGCTGGTGTGGCTCAGTGGATAGAACGTCGGCCTGCGAACTGAAGGGTCCCGGGTTCGATTCCCGGTCGGGGCACAGGCCTGGGGTTGTGGGCTCGATCCCCAGTGTGGGGCGTGCAGGAGGCGGACGATCCATGGTTCTCTCTCATCGTGGATGTTTCTCTCTCTCTCCCTCTCCCTTCCTCTCTGACATTAATAATAACATATTTTTTAAAAAGATCCAGAAGAGGCGTCAGTCCACGCACCGGACCCCTTTGCACACCTGCCCCTTCGGCGAGAAAGGTCAGGGTGCCTGGATGGTCAGGCCAAGGTCAGCCCCAAGGTGAGACGGGAGGGTCCTCGCCCACCTCCAGCCGCCTCTCTCGCGCCCGGGATGGCACCGCCGAGCTCAGGGCGCCATACGTGATGAGGAAGCACCCTCGATTCCTTCTCATTTATCTCTAGAGGTGAGAATCGCACCCCGCTCGCCCCCCCGGGGCGCGTACACTTTGACTAGTAGCACCTTGGACACTTGTCTTCGGTGCATGGTGAACATTCCAACCGGGTTGAGAACACGACTCCCCTGGAAGGCGGACAGGCGGAGGGACGTGTGAATCAACAAACAGGCATCGGGTGTCTACGATGTGTCAAGTCCCCGCGCGGGGCCCCGGGCCCATTAAGCCGCTGCAGAAATGGAAAGGTTAGATGTTGGCCCCGTGTCCCCACGAAGGACGAGTGGGGTGCGCCGGGGGGCCGGCCGGGGAGGGGATCCCGTGGGCTCTGGGGTGGCTCCCCGGGACCCACTCCCGGGGGACCTCGCCCTCCAGCTGTCAGTCTCTGCCTGGGCCACCCCTCTTCCCTGGTCTGGACCCTCTGGGGGAGGTGGCGCCCCCAGAATGAGGACATGCGTCTCCCGGGCCAGCAGCTGTCACCTGAGAAACAGGGAGATTACCCCACCAGGCGACAGGCTTGTTGTAGGGAAACAGGGGCGGCTCACATTCCCTCCCGCGGTGATTAACCCTCGGAGAAATGTGGCCCGATCCCAGCGCATCCACCCTCCGCCGCTGCCCACCCAGATGGCTGAGCCCGGAAGGCCCTGGGGGAGGAACCTGCTGGGGGGGTGTGTGTGGGGGTCTCCTCACCTTCCCGGGCTGCGGGGTGGGGGGCTGGAGAGGGACCGCACGGGGGCGTCCTGGGCTGCAGACCCTGGCCCCCTGC